AAAGAAAAAACAAGGGCAGATTGAAACCATTAAATTTCTCATTCTTTTTTGAACTCCACCTCCACTGTGCCTCTCACGTGCAAGGCTCGCCACGTATATATATATATACCGGGCAGTTCTGTTTGTGACGATATATATATATATATATATATATATGATGAGTCGGTGAAACTCCGACGAAACAGTTTGTCACAGCCCCTCGTTTGTTGTCCTCTTCTCTCTCTCTGCCTACGGTTTACCGGGCAGTTCTATTTGTGACGATATATATATATATAGATAGAGAGAGAGAGAGAGATGCAGCATGCAGCATGTCAGTGGCGGGGAGCACAAGCGCAGGCGCTGACCTCCAACGAAAAGAAGACGTAATTTTATCGGAATACAAGAGTTTTTTCTTTTCGAAATCCGAATAGAAAGGGTACAGTACAGGTATTCGAATGGAAAGGGTAGGACCTGCACCGTTTCAATTTCGAAAAAGGACTACCCGCACGGTTTCAATTTCGGAAAAGGACTGCGGCCTCCTCGGCCTCCTACTCGCAGCTACTGGTCCTGAACCGCGCAGCTACCGGTCCTTCGCGGTCCTGGCCCTTGCAAGGCCCCAAAACCAAAAAATGACCACCCTCCCGACGACCAGGACGTTGAAATTTGACGTTGAACGTTGAATGTCTCAGGGGGGGAAAGCGCATCCCTGACGGGCTGCGAACAGTTCTGAAGGGTCAAGGTCGTAGCTCCTACAGTATCGAAAGGCCAAGTCCACAGCCTTCTGGAAGGTCCTAGTAGTGGCCTTTCGAAGCTGCTCACGTTTAGGCTGAGGCAGGTGGGCAAGTGGTGGAGTCCACCTGTGCTGAGTCAGCAGTCCCAGTCCCAGTCCAGTCAAGCAAGTACCGCATGGGACTGTGTGCACCACGGGCATGGGAAAAGGGGCAGACCAACGAGGTACAGAAGTATAAATCAAGAGGCAGCGCCCAGCTATTCATTCATTCCTGCGTAAGCCATGCAGAAGCGCTGCCACAGTGACTTGTGCGAGGTGGTCTGCAGTGAGCCCGAAGACGAAGTGGGCGAGAGAAGGAGCTTAGCCATAGCGATGGGGTAGCAGCGGCCATAGCCGTCATAGCTGATAGGAGAGTGTAGCGTGTATGTGTGTCCGTGTGTGTACAGTGTGATGTGTGTGGGATATCCAGGGTGATCCTGTGTGTGTGTGAACAGAGAGTTGTACAGGCGCTGTGCCGCCATAGCCATTTGAATTGAACTTGTATCTGAACTGCGTTCTTGGTTACTATATCTCTGAGTTCTGAGTGGGCGCTCGTCCCCAGTTTGCTGCGCAACCTGTTTGCATGCATATGAAGTGTGAACGAGAGCGAGTCTGATTGCATTAGTCTGGAATCTTCAGCTACGGGCCCTTTGTGTTTGCCGACCTCATACATATCTGTGTGTGTGTGTGTGTGTGTTTATTTTTCAATCTTTGACTCAGGAGTTGCCTTGTTGCACAGATTTGTTGCGGGGGGCAGATTTATTCCTGCCACAGATTAATTCCAGGGGCAGATTTATTCCTGACTTGTTTTCCTCTTTGGAAGCGTATGGGCAGGGAATCAGAACTTGAAGTTGAATTTTCATGAAGATTGGTGTAAACCACCGGATGCGGGGAGCGCCAGCCAAAAACACGGAAGCCAGGTTTTCATGTTCATGGGAATTGCAGTGGGTGTTGTCCTCGTTATCACGGGGGCACTGTTTCTTGCACTATATACAGTGAGAAAGCCACGTGTATGTCCGAAGAAATGCGCTCGGGAAAGGGAAGGTGAGGTCCAGTGCAGCAGAGGATCCATTGATTGCCACTCCCACCTTCAAACCACTCCTACATCGGACCCTGAATCGCCGAACCTATCTCTTTCGCGCACGAACAAACAGAACTATTCCCTGCCAGGCCGGTACATGGAAAAAGCACAGCCTCCATGTCAACCAGTGGAAGTATCGGTCAAGGAGGGGCTTGTGCCGGTGGCTTAAACCACCAGAACCTTTTCCATATGTCGGCTGCAGGCACTGCGTGCCGGCCCGAAAATCAAGAGTGGCTGCCAATTCGATTTATCGGCGGCCGCCCTTCCGTTTCAGGCCAGCACGTAACCTGGCGCGCCTCTGAAAAAAAAAATAGCTGGAAAAGGTACCGATGGTTTAAGACACTTCAGACATTGCCGACCTTTGTTCTCGTGTTACCGACAGAAATGGCACAAACTTTTCGGTTTCAGAGTCATCTCAACTTAACTTTGTGCTCTTGCTCTCAAGGCTATACAGCCTCTAGCATCTACTTTCTTTCATTGTGTATCTTCTTCTATCTTCTGACCAAGCAATTCTTCCCCCATTTTTCCGCACTTTTTTTCCTTTTTTCCCCCCCTCACCCCTGCCTAAGTTAGCTTATTTGGGGTATCTTTCAGTCTAAATACAGCTATAACAACCGTACGTTGTATTCGGGGAAAGAAGGTACTGTTTATCCTATCGTCTGTTGTTTCCTTCCCCTAGCCCGTACTAACTACTTCTTTTCAGTACCCCTTCCTCTGAATCCCCTCCCTTTACCCCTTGTACCTTTGGTACTCTTGTTCTGCTAATAAAACCCTAAACCCTAGAAAACCCTTTAATATCTGGCCCGTGTTCTGTCCTTCAGTCCTTAAATCCGTTGGCTCCTCCTCCGCCTCTTGTTGTTGCTGCTGGGTCTCTACTGGCGATCCCCACTGAAATCTGAGACTAGCGCCCTCTGTTGCGGCCAGCTTGCCTCTGCATAGAGTTCCTTGCTCAAACCTGGATTTTGTTTCTTTTGCTCCCATGGGGGTGTCTGACATCTTCTTCCTTGTCCTTTTCCATTGAGCTTGTATGTCAGTCTCCATCAGATTAATAATTAATTAATTTCACGTGCCTCCTGTATGTGCATTTGCCTCTGTTCTATGGTCCGTTGGCATCTCCTTTTCCACATTGTCCAAAGTGCGTACTGGCTCAGCAGATTGGAAGTCCTCCTTTCGTACCCCTGCCAGTTCTTTGGCATGTCTATTCCCACAGCAGTACGGTCCCCATATCTTCCTGGAAGAGGACATCCGTGATTCTGGCCCTCAGTTCCGTTGCGATTCACCATATTTGCTTGGCGCTGCCGCAGTCCAGCAAGCAATTCTTTACTGACGCCCTCCGATCCTCGCGGCATGCCACAGACAATTCCTTCTGAGGACTTGTATTTTCTTGATTCCTTCTTGTATTTAACCACTCCTTGACCAGGAGCGCCAGATGGATGATTAACCAATGCAAGCTTCTCATTCTCCCGAGCCTGATGCTGTTCATCCCTGACCACGGGAGGGGTTCAAGCCATGATGGAGATATTCCCACTTTGTCCTCCCTGGGCCTTATTATTGCGTCCTTCAGTGTCTGGGCTCTTGCTCTAAGCTTGTATCCCAGCTTTGTTGTGTAGTTAAGTATATTGGTTCCGAGTCCTATGTTTAGTATTTTTCTTCCTCCTCTCAGATTCCAGGCCCACTCTGCCGGATCCAGCTCCAGGTCCTCCAACCTGGTCGTGGGGCAGTAAATCGTGAATCCCTGTCTCCAGAACCCGCACTTTCCGGATCAGGTCCGCTCTCACCGAAGTCGGAGTTTTTGAGTCCTTGCTAAGTCTACTCGTTGTCGCCCTGGTTTCTCTATCTGGTACATGTCGGTGCACAGCCAGACCTGCTGCGGGCCCTCCCTTCTGTGGACTCTGAAGGCTACCTTCGGTTCTTCATCTTGCTGCCACGTCGCCCAGTCCCCAAACGCCCATTGGGGCCCCTTCGGCAGTAATCTCTTCCATTCCGGGGGGATGGATATCAATAAGGCGTGGAGGTTCTCCAGTAGATTGTGACTGCCTTTGAGGTTCCTTTCTTAGCTCTCTTGCGGTTTTCCACTGTCTTTCTTCGTCCGACCATAAGTGCTTTATCTGCCACACTCTGTGCTGCAGCCATGTCCCCCATCTTGAGTCTTGGGCTGATAGGGTTCTTGGTCTCCCTCGCTCATCCTTTAGCCATTGATTGCAGCACAGTGGCTGGCGTAGAACGTCTTCTCTTGTTCTTGGGTCATGAACTTTGGGTGGGAAAATGCACCCCCCCCCCCCCCCCAAGTGGCGCCAATAGCTTCCCCCTCCCTCTCCCTGGGCATTCTCCTCCCTCCTATTTTCTCTCTTCCCTGTCTCCGCCCATCCTTTTCACGTGAGCCAGACGAGCCCCGTCATATTATGTAGAGTTTTGTACTTAGCTATTTTTCTTATACTTGCTAATATGTGATTTGTGATCAGTTTGATCACCCATTTGGACTGTAGTGCTTGGATTTGTCTTTCTGGGTCAATTATAGCCAGACCCCACTTCCCCTGGCTCTTTGTTAAATGCTTCCAAGCTACCTTTGAGATAGTCTACTGCTTGGAAGGGTTGCCTGACCATAGGTAAGCTGTTGCCTTTCTCCTCAGTGTCAATCCTGCACTCGGTATGGGGCTCCATATTGTTCCTGCGCATTTCCACACTTTTTTTTTTTTTTTTTTTTTTTTTTTNTTTTTTTTTTTTTTTTTTTTTTTTTTTTTTTAACAACAGGCCCTTATGGTGGCTCCATTCTGGGGATCGTCAGTCGGGTTCCTATTTCCCCCGCAAGTCAAAATGATTACATCATGAACCCACTCACGCTTCCTTCCGTATGGGCGAAGGAACCCTGACCAGCATTGATTACTCCTATTAGGAGGATTGACTGTCAGCTTGCCTTTCCCTGCAATCCCTCTCAGATTCCTCGGTGGGAATCTGCCAAGTAAACTTTTAAAACAAGAAGAACTCAGAAGGGCCACTGAGCCACTGAGTTGCTTCTCAAAAAATGTTGGTGTCTTGTGTGTGTTCTTATGTTGCCTGTGGGTCCTGTGGACAGCCCGCAGCTTGCTGTAGTGAGCTTCTCCAGCTGGTTTCCGAGTTATGCCAGTCTTTCCAGCGTATGTTGCCATCTCTTAGCTCCGCAACTTTCCCTGCAATCCCTCTCAGATTCCTCTGTGGGAATCTGCCAAGTAAACTTTTAAAACAAGAAGAACTCAGAAGGGCCACTGAGCCACTGAGTTGCTTCTCAAAAAATGTTGTTATGTTGCCTGTGGGTCCTGTGGACAGCCCGCAGCTTGCTGTAGTGAGCTTCTCTAGCTGGTTTCCGAGTTATGCCAGTCTTTCCAGCGTATGTTGCCATCTCTTAGCTCGGCAACTTTTCCTCCCACCAGCCAAGCTTTGACAAACTTGGAGAGGATAGTACGCTGCCGATCTTCATCCTCGGGCAATGCCTGTTTTGTTCTGTGACATCTGCATAAAATCTCCGCCAGAATCAGTGTCCTGGTTTCTGCCCAAACCTTTTCTCTTGGCGTTGATAATCCTTCAATGGTCCTGCTGCATCTCTCCTTCCATATAGACCACACCGTAACTTGTAATAGTCCTGCTGCATCTCTCCTTCCATATAGACCACAACGTAACTTTTCTGATCATACCATACCAGGTCTTCTCTGAGCTGGTGAGGTATGTCGGGATGTTAGTCCACAGTAGAAGTTGGATGCAGTGTTCAGGCAAGGGTTTGGTGAACAGGGAGTCCCAGAGATCCAAAGCCCTGGCCCAGTATTTTGTCGTTTCTTTTGCATTGGATTGAAGATTCGTCTTTCTGGTCCATTTCCTGAGCAAACTGTGCATAGGTTGGAACTGTTAGGATCGTTTTTCCATCTACGAATATGGAGCCACTGGTTTACTGGTAGCGCTACATAGGCTATCAGTCATTGGAGACTCCCCGATTTTGACTGGTGTGATTGATTTGAATTTCTTCCATGGATTCTGTGTGATCTGGTCTGCCTCTTGAGAGAGATGGTTAACGGAGACCTAAATTTTCAGACGACTTGACCCGCAAACCCTAATTTCAGTTTTGGGTCTGTTGGTCAGGACCTGAAAATGGGGGTCCGCATTAACCATTCGTGCCTCTTGACCTATTAGTTTTGCCCATCTGCTGCTGACTATTGGTTTGGGGTCTTTAGTCTTGAGGAATAATCTGTACCCCATCTTCACCGAGTAGTCCTGGATTTCTGTATTCATATATTTGTTCCTTCCTGATGTCCAAGCCCATTCTGCTGGGTCGAATTCCAAATCCTGGATCACTGTGTCCACCCTAAAGATTGTTTTGGGGCAAGAGCCCATCACTCTCACTCTCCTAAGGAGGAAGATGTCTAGATTTTTTCTTACTACATCCTTTTCTAGGATGGATGCCGATCCATGCACCGACAGCAATATTGGATAGGACTCATAGGAGTAAAATTTGCAACAGTGTTTGACCCCTGTTGATTATGTGAGAATTGGTAGGCCCGTGAGGGGGGCATTTCCTGGAACCGGTTCCCCTGTTCACCTGTTTTCCATGTTGGTGGTCTCTTTAACAGATCTTTCCATCCTCCCAGAATGCTGTTGATGATGGTCTGCAGGATTCTATCCCGTTGGTGACATCCCTTGAGGAGGGCGGCCCGGTCATGGTCTGTTACCCATTCCCTTTTCTTTTCTGGTTTTTTTTTTTTTTTTTTT